CGACTCATCATCCAGTCCTCCTGGCACCAAAAATCCAACACTACACATGTTGTGTACAGCATCCTTCCTGTAGGTAGTGAGAGGAGTCAGTCAGCACGAGACATAACACTTTTGAACCTAATTTTGCCAATAATTATAACTTCTTTAAAATGGAAGAGTAAAATATAGTCAGTCCTAATACAGTCCTAATGTCAAGTACGCTTATGCAAAACTGTAGCAAATTCAGTGCTCCTTTATTTAGCACCGAAGGTCATAACGAGAACTGAAGCCAAAAGCTGAGGGCAGACAAATTCTAATCAGAGCAAATATTTAACAGCAAGTTAAACAGTGAAACAAAGTGTCAGGAACTCGCATTTCTTGATGTCTCCAAATGAAAACCTTTCTAGAAGAAACGCTTCAGTGTAAGCCAAGCCATTGGCGGGTGTGCAGGGGGGTGTCAGAAGGAAATGTCTGTTGCTATACAGGAGGCCAGTTTAGATGACCTGCTGATTTCTCCCATTTGTAAACCCCACGAAAGTCAAAATAATGATTGCTCAAAAGCAAGCCCTACCTCACTACTACGTTTTACATTTTCAGTACTTCTGAGTTACTTCAGTGAATAGCAATGTTAATCACTGGGTAAAAAGCCCTCAGCAAAATGCCCCAAAGGGCCTTCCCAGCTGGCAAGCAGCCACCATGTTTCCCATCTTCTGAAGGAAGTACCATCTCTGGGTAACAGTGGGCATTTACTTGGAAGAGATGGAAAGCCAGCTGAGCCATGGCCAGACAAGTGGCCAGTTGCTAATGGGCAGGCTCTGTTACCAGACTGCCTTTCTGCCACAGAATACATTTCCTTCTGAAGTTAGACTTCAGAAGATCATTCACAGAATACTACATAGGCTTGACATCATCTTATTCAGCCTATCTTTTTTTTCAGCGTAAGTGCACACGCGTGGCTGAGTCACATCTTCTTATTTAGCTGACCTAACCCAGTACGTGCTATATTCTGTGTCACTGGAACAGCAACCAGGCCAGAACAGCCCACAATTTGCTCTGACCAATATACCACTAACAGGATTGCCAGCTAATCATTAACAGCAGTCCTTATTGCTAGAGAAGGAGTGTGAATCAGAAGGAAACCAAGCAGGTTTTCCAGGCCCAAATGGTATTTATATTGTTGTCAATGGGAAAAAATAATCTTATGACTTATACCCTTAGTCAAATACATCTAGAGATTTTGTTGTTGTTGTTATTCTTCTTTCTAAAGGAAATGCTTAATTTACTTTAACAACCATACTGATTTTTGGAAGCAACAGCAAGTCCTGAGACAGAATACACATGTAGAGAGTAAAGCTTCTAATATTTTGAGGTTTCAGATTTAGCCGGCTCTGTTTAAGCACAGTAGGTCTACAAAACAGAGATCTCCTTTCAGATTTTTTAATCACGCTTCAGGTTCATCATAGTCACACCGTGGCAGTATATTGTATAGCAGACACTGTATAGGAATGTGAAAGCAACTGAGGTTTTCTCGGGTCCGCGCTTGTCTCCCTCCACAGCACACACCGTACTGAAGAAATGGAAAGAAGAGACAAGAAGGCTGACTTGGCTTGCTAAACCTCTGACTGGTCACTCTTGTTTTCTAATCATCACGTTTCATTTCTCTAGACTGAAAGCTGGAATGAAGGAATGAGTGAATAATTGGATTCTTTTCATCCTCAAACACTTCACGTTTACAAAAGCAGAGAGATTTGTCTCTGTGGTGCCCTTGGACAGCCTAGAGCTCTTCTCTGACAATATAAGAGAAGCAGTTCTTGCTTCACCAGGGTCTCCTCTGAACACTTTGGTGCTTGCGCTGGGGCCATGAGATGCAAAGATACCAGGGAAACAGAGCAGCGATTTACACTGACAAAGAGGATTTTGATACACTCCTCCAAATGGGGCAGCATTACCATCTTAATAGCCTTTTGCTCTCAGCTCTCCTTTCCTGAGGACGCTGGAGGTTTTTGCGAATGGAGAGCAGTTCCGCTTCCCATTTTAAGCGCAACAATAGCAGAAGGGCTCCTTAAACTGCATCAAATAGCAGCCTGTGAAATCCCTAACTAGCTGCACTGCCTCTCCTGCCGTTTTATTATCCTCCAGCCCAGGGAACAAAAGAGGGGGGAGCTCCTCCTCATTTTTAGCCTATTCCACACACCCTAATCCCTCAGAGGTGGCAATGGAAATTGCTTGTGGAACTGTTAAATCACACTTTCACTTTGCCTTTCATTCCCCATTCACCCGCACCAATCAAGGAGTTTCCAGGCACATTTTCCGATATCAATTTGTTTACGGCCTATCGGTTAATGGTCCCGGGATGGGACCCCCTGCGTAAGAAGAAAGGGCAGTGGGCCCTTCATCCAGCTGCTGCTCCCCCCCCCCCCCGTTCCCACAGGCATGCGCTTGTTCTCACCAGCCGCCCGCGCGGTGCTCACCGCCTGACACCCACTGAAGGCCCCAACAAAGCCTCAATGGCGGAGCGGCCTCTGCCATCAGACTGTGCGGCAGATCCACTGGGTAGCACTATAAAGATGCCCTCGGACAGCGACACTCCCCCTCTAGCTAAAGCTCGGCCTTAGTGACACAGCTCCTCGCATCCAGCCCCTCTGGAAGGAGGCCGCCGCCTCGGGCCCGGCCTCTGGGGCAGGAGGAGCCAGGGCCGCTTTCCATTACGCGTCTCCTTCTTGGAGTTGTGACTCCTGTCAGCATCTTAGCTGAGATCCGGCCACTTCCAGAGGCTGTGCTCACTTACACAAAAACAAAGTCATTGAAATGTTGGATATGAAAGCAGAGTATTTCTTTTACACAGCTTGGTGGGGCTCTCACTTGGACAAGTGCTGAGTCTTGGACTTGGACAAGACTTGTGATGCTCCGTCAGGATTCCAGCAGCAGGGCCTTAATGCTGCACCACGGCTTTGCCAACACCGGCAGACTCAAACCAGAATACTTAAACCCACCCTGCAAAGTGACTGAAATGCCAATTACAGCTTCTAATTAAGCTCCATGGACTTTTAAGGTTCGGACACTGCTGTCTGACTCCTGACTAGAAGATTACCTGCCACGTGGAGTAGTAGCCGGGGGCACATGACTGGGGAAACACACCCTTGTTTCCTACCCAACTTGAATAAAAATAGCTAAAAATGAAATAAATATTAGAAAATAATGGTGTAGTCAAAAAAAGAGAAAGGACTTATGCAAAGAGGAGTTTCAATGTGCTTTTTAAATGTACAAATAATGCCTGATGGTGAGCTACAGTGCTTACTTAAATAAATCTGAACACGATTTTAGCAAAATATTGGATGCTGATTCAAACTGCCATGCTAGAAATGTACAGATAATGGGAAAAGAGCCATACCCCTACTGCCATACCTTTCATAATGCAATCAAACAGTCTTTTATCAAAGGGCCCTACTCCATCATCATTATACCTTACTTGGCCAATTTGTTCTTCAAAGCCAGGGCTCGGTCCTTAGAAAGCTGCACTCTTGGCTCACAGAAAGGCAAACAAAGGTCCTCCCCAAAGCCTTTCCAAAGAGGGAAACCCCCTTTCCCAAAGTCTTGTTATATTAGTGCCTGGGGTCAGAGCAGGAAATTGGTCTACTTTGTTTAGAACAGTGAAAAACAAGTCTGTAACTCAGAAGATCCTTAAGATAGGAAAGTAGCTTGTGTTTTGCTGAATGCTAGATTCAAATAACGCCAGATCTAGGGCAAATCTTGCAAGCCATCTCAGTGTAAACTAATAAAAATTGTTTCTAGTTTCTATAGCCTGTTTGAAGTTAGTGGTACCAAATGAACCAAACTGAACTCCCCAAATGCCATGTAAGCACATCCTAGGTAAAGTTTCTAGAAACTGAGAGAACACCTAGTGGACCTCAAGTCATCATCATAGAGCTATATTAAAGGCAAGCCAAAATGCACGCCAAAATGTTTTCGTTCCCTTTCTTTTGTTTTCTTACATTATGTATCACGACAGATCAAAGCATACCTAGTGATTAATAAATGTAAATATGTCATTGCTCTGGTACAGCATGTCTGTAGGTGAGAAAAGGGCAGATGGGAGAGAACTGTTTATGCACCTTAAAATAGCTGTAGTGCTTTATGGGAATCAGTGATTCTCAATCACTGGAATGTGAGAAAAAGGCATTAACTTTTTTTTTTCCTAATGCCAGGGCTGCATATCAGAGTGTGTCCTCCAAACAGCAAGTGGCAGGCACTGATTGGTCCTATTTAGTGTGCTAAATTGATGCAGCAACTGAGAGCCAGGCTGTATATTAATAGAGGTCAACTCAGCAAAACTGATTTATGGATATCTGTCAAAAAGTAAGTATGCTAGAGGAAGATTGATTGGAATAGATGGGGAAAGAAAGGAAGAGCTGCTCTTCCCTCTTGCTGTGGTTTGAAAGAAGGTATTTTATGGGATGGCCACAAGGAGCCCCAGGTCCCTGCCATCATGGTAGTAGCATCCAGCTTTCCAGCACACTATCCCATATCCTAGAGAATCTCAGGATTATTTAAGACCAGGTGGCATTCACATTAGAGTGATCAGAAAAATAGAGCAGAGATATTAATTTCCTGTGTTTTTATTGATGTCAAGCTATTGGGTAAAGAGGAACCATTTATTAGCACATGTTTTTAATGGTATTTTAAGACAGACATGTTTCTCCTGGAGAAATCTATCCCATAGGAGCAATGTTACCAGAATCATTCTGTATTACCTTGAATGCAAGCAGGGAGATTTGATTAATAATGTCAGGTTTTACTCTTAGATCCGTGGGAATATGCAACAGTGTAATTCAGTATAATTCAGGACAATACACAGAAAGCAGCAGAAAGCTGCCCTTGTCAACCAGATGGTTTGAATTTGTGGGTTTTTTTTTTTATGTAGGTATAAATAGCACCATTTTCAACAACACTCACTGTTATCTGCCTCCAGCCTGCTTAAAACACTAATTGCAAAGGCAAAATAATCAATGTTCTAGTCTTACCTTGAAGAACAAAGCCCGATTTCTCAATGGTGTAGTAGAAAGTGGAGAATGGAGCAACAGGGGATTTAGCAACCAGGATCTGCAAAGCAAACAAACAGTATGTAAGCACACATACCTACAGTACACTAAGCATTGCTCAGATCTGTGAAATAACTTTAGTTGATTCAATTTCCAGAAGCAGTAAAGCCACAGAAGAATAATATGGCAGTTATTGATCTAGCTCTGTCACTTCTGAGCAGTGGAGATCTTCTCACAAGCCTATATAGATCATGCTGCCATTTCAAAAGCCTTCACAGGTACTAAAAATTATACCACTGAAAACAGCATGCTCTGCCTGTCACATTACAGAATGCTATTAACAGAATGGCATTCTGTTAAGCCTAATCATTCCTGCTGGAAATCACAGAATGCTTGAGGTTGAAGGGGACCTCTGGAGATCATCTGGTCCAACCCTCCTGCTCAAGCTGGGTCACCAGCTTGCACATTTGCAAGGATTGTGAAGATGACTTTGGAATATCTCCAAGCGTGGAGACTCCACACCTCTCTGGGCTTTCCAGCAGGTCAGCCCCCAACCTGTACTGGTGCATAGGATTATTACCCCCTCGGTGCAGGACCGTGCCCTTCCATTTACTGAAGTTCATGAGGTTCCTCTCTTGCAGTCTCTCCAGCCTGTTGATGTCCCTCTGTATGGCAGGCAGCCCAGCTATCTGCTGTATCAGCCACTGCTCTCAAGTTTCTCTCATCTGCAAACTTGCTGAGGGTCCAGCACATCTGAGGGCCATTGCACATCTCTGTGTTTGAATTTCCAAAGGCTGGCCAGAGGCCACAGCTGCTGAGTCCAGGCTCTGGTGGCTCGCTCGCCCTCAGGCACATGCGAGCACAGATTGCTTAGAACCACAGACAGAAACAATCTTATTTTTAGAGATACATGGTGCGCCAATAGATCCTGCAGATTCCAAGTTAAAAATACTCATTATTCCCAAAGGGCAGGCCCTAACTCAGCAAAACACTATAGAAGGCATCAGCGTTGTTGCATTTGAATTCTGCTCAGATATGTCTGTTGTTTTCCTAGGAAAACAGCAACAGTTTTTATAAGGTTCAAAACTCTACACAGGCAAATGAGGAATTTCACGCTCATGAAAACCATTCAGACTTTACTGCAGACTCAGGTTAGACAATATTGAATCATTTCATACATACAGACACCTGGAACATTTATTCCCAAGTATAAGATGAACAACATTAAGCAGTCAAAGTTTGAATTTTGGAGTATACTTATGTAACAAGAGGATTTTGGCAGCAAATTACAACCGCACAAACCCACAGCGAGCTAAAAGCTTTACGGCTTTCACAATGAACACAAAAACAGTCTCCCTCCTTCTTCAGAGGGTAAACAACAACGCAAGGCACAGAAAGACCACAAATACAGCCAGGGAACACGAGTCCAGTCGCAAACGTCAATGTTTTCCTTTCAGTCATGTGGAGCTGGCAGAAGGGCCTCGGGATGTGCTGTAACCCCTGCGAAGGACTCGGCGCAGGGAAGCTGCAGCGCCAGCGCTTTCCCGCCCGGCACCGTAACCACCACTCCTGCTGCAAGCGGCTGCGCGGAGCGGGGAGCGCACGTCCCATCACACACACACTCCCGTCTGGGATGCGCCCCCGCAACGCCAGCATTCCTTCAGGCACAGCCGTCTCCGGACGGTTCAGCCCCTTGCACTGAGCTGCTGGGGGAGAGAGGCTGCAAGGAGAAAGGCGAGTGCCTCCTGGTGCCCGGCTCGCACGTGCTGCCTGCACCGCCTGAGAACCCTCTGCTGCGCCAGCGAGAGCATGAGGTGCAGGAACTGTGCAAATTCCCAGCTACAAGGGCTCCCAGAACAGCTGGATGTTTCCATCAGAAAGGCCTGAACTAAACCAGTTACAAATGTGATGTCTAAGGTCACATTCTTGGCATTCTGTACAGTGCTGAGCACATACATACTGATATACGCGTGTGCGCTAGGCACAGTTGTACGTGCAAAGGGCTGGACATCCAAATAGCTCTATGAACATTTTGTTACTGTGTTTTTATGTAGTTTCAACATGTGTATAACTAAATATAGCAATGAAAAAATAAAATAAATCACATCCTTTCAGCAGCACGTCACAGGGCCCCTCTGAAAGCTGTTCCACAGTTATGTCTGAGGCTCGGAGATTTATAGTGAAAATATATGGCCAGGATACTCAAAGGTATTGCTTATTTCAAATGTTTGCTTGCTGAGACAAATAACTTCTAAAGTATGATAGTGGTATATGAAAACAAGAAAGACTAAACAGGACTTTTTACAACACTACATTCTAAATTAACCTAATTCGGAAAAAAAAAAAAAAAGTGTTTAGATTTGTGTTCTAAGCCAAGATAGAAAATTGTGAAAGATGGCTGCAAACCATCTGCTGGGTGGAAGCACCAATGCAGACTTGGTTCTTATGCATATACAAGAAACTTTGCAAGCACAACAGGAAACACAGATCAAAAAAGAAGATGATGTTTCAGAGGTCCAAATGTGGAAAGATTACCAGAAGTCGAGTTAATGTTGATCTTGGAAAGTATACTAACAATATCAAAAAAGGAAGTAAGAATTGCAGCTACAATGGAATGAGACTGAGATAGCGATTAAACATAGTCTAGGTATGAGTGAAGAAATAATCAGTTTTCAACAAGCAGGAGGATGCTGAAAAAGAGGAAGAAAAGCAAGGCAGACAGTGGGAACAAGCATATGGATATAGAAATAACAACTGAAATGGAAATAAAACTCCCAAGAGCTTACTGTGGCAAGCAGAAAGCAGATAATCTCCATCCAAAAATGCTCAAAGAACCAGAATGTGAATTTAGGTCTGATAGCTAGGATTTGTCATACACCTACAAAGTAAAAGATAATGCAATATAACTGAAGAATAGCAAATGTAGCAGCCAAACGAAAGAGAAGGAAAATATATTTTATCTTATTTATTCATATGCCTCATATGTATTCATACATGTTTAACTACAGTTGCTGTTGCAATTTTAAATGAGTCCCAGCCAAAATCTGGAGAAATCAGCGTACAGAAAGGCTGATTATCTGAACGTGGATCGGAATTCTTTGTAAGGAGGCTAGATGTGGAACAAGCTGAAACAGGAACCTGCTTCCACAATCTTACTCTTTCAAACTGAGATTAAGAACATAGATTTGCAGTCCAACATAAAAGAGGGATTTCCTTGGTTTCCTTTTGGCTTTGTGAAGAGAAAAATGTATAATTCCACTAATCTTCCTGACATACATAAAGGAATTCATTCCTTTTTTTCCCACACAGGTAAGTGAGAAAACACACCTTTTATTATTCAATCAGGAAATTCGAGATGAAATCCTGGCCTGAACAGAAATTTTTCCAACTGACTTCAATACAGCCAGAATCTCACCAGGACGACTAAGATGAGCAAACAGAAATGGTCAAAAGCCAAGGAAGATAACAGGAGCTTCGAATAGTGAAATGCCTTTTTAAATACTGAAGTGAACAGAAAACAGACCCAGAAAAATGATAAAAAAAAAAACTTCACTGTCTTTCTGATTTGGACAACTCCTGAGCCTCTGGAATGGACTATAAAAAAGAGATGCAATTATTCTTACATTACTGTTCTACTAACGTGGGAATGATAGAGAGAGATGAGAAAAGTAAAAAAATCCAACCTATTTTAAGTTTTGCAAAGTCCCAACTCTACAAAATTGCCACTTCTTTCCTTCCTAGCATCACGTTTCACCTTAAGAGGTTTGTAATAATTATTTATTATTTGACAGCAAGATGGAATAAACATTAAACAACTGAAAAATGACTCCTGCCATGAGGCACTTTAAGCACACAAAGGTACTATGGAAGAGAAAATATATCACCTTGATGAAAAGTGAATAGAAATTGGATAGATGCCATTAGATTAGATAAAGCAAGATAAATGGGTGACAGGCAGAACAGTTGAGAAACAAAAGGCTTAGAGAGAATTGATGATGACAGCAGAAAAATTGTATATTAAAGTTTGTTTTTTTAATTAGGGAAGGCATTTTTATTAATACAGTTTATTGTGATGGGCTTTGTAGAAGACATGCATCACAGAAATTGATTGCAGAAGCCCAGCAGAAAATACTAATTATTGGGACAATGTCTCAGGTCAATAGTAAGGAATGTGATGAATTGTAAAATGTATTGCATGGAGTTTCAAATGTAATCTGATAATCAGAAATCAAGCCTGTGTCCTGTAAAAAAAAAGTAAAGATGATGAAGGAGACAGGTCCTAATATCAAATTAGTCATCAAAATGACAGCAAGATAAACTACCAAGAAATGAAATAACTAGGACAATTTTGAGTGAGTTATGAGTCCTCTGCTAGTAAAGAACTAAGTTTTCATAATAAAAAAGCTAGCGAGTTAGCTAGCTTTTTTAGTTTTAGTTTAGTTAGCTAGCTAACTAAATGAAAGTAACTATAGTAAAGTAACTAAACTAAATAACTAAAGATTTTTTTAAAGTGAAAAATCTGATAACAGCAGTATTAATAATTTAATATGTCATTCCCATTTAGACTAATAAGACAAGCAATTTTTACTCTTCCTCAGTTTTGCTGTGACTATTGCAAGGAAATCAAATGGCCAAGAGTCTCACAGTGGCCAAGGAACATGAGCAGAGCTACCTGATGCTTCTTTTGAAGCATGCCAGCTTCTTTCCTCAGCGAACAGATTGGTTTTTTTTCTTTTTAATTTCCCTTTGTGTTTTTTCCCTTATATTTCCTTTTCTGTTAGACTTATCTTTTGTACTCTCAAGGAATGGAACACACTGAAAGCAACTAAATACATCTATGCGTACTAAGGGCGGTAACACACAGCAAAACCCTACCTGCATTCAATGCGTATTTTGGAATTAAGATCTAACTTCCAAATACAGAAGATTTGTGGGAGGAATCTTTGGCTCTCACTACTACAGCTGCCCTTACTGTAAAGATGCTGGCTTGCTGGGAATTTTTGCTAATTTTATATTGCTGTTCCGCTGCAGTAAACAGTCATTGCTCACAGCGGGGAAGTT